TGTGTCTAAACTGGTGAGTGTGACTTAGAACTCTATGCTGTAACCTAATTTTCAAGTACCCCGTAAGGGTGAAAACACTGAACACTGAAAGTCCTCAAAGAGACTTGCTCATCCATTGAGAATAATGGTCACTTTTTGCTGCTCTTAGGACCTGTTCTGCCAACATGGAAAAAGTAACTCTAGGTCTAGTCTCTTTTTAAATTTTTTTTCCAGAGGGCATGCAAGCCCATTTGAGAGACAGATTAAGAGAGAGAGAGAGGTGAGAAAGCATCTCCCCTGGGGGATGGTCATGCCACAGTCCCATCTCCTCCATTCCACCTTTCCCTCCTATCAGAATTTTGGGCATGCATGCAGACAATGTGCACATTTTTCTAACCACTGGGTCTGTCTTGGACCTCACAGATGATATGTGGAATTAAGTCACCTTAATAATCATGCCACAGGCTGGCCCTAGATCCACCACTCAGGGTTATGGTGGTGCAGACAAAATCATAAGAAATCTCTCCAGTGTGGTAGAATTCAAGACACCCCACAAAGCCCAGAGGATGTAATAGTACTTTATACTTACATTGTATTGTTAAATAAGATATATGTTGTTTCTTATACAATTAAAAAAAGAGGGACCAGCATTTGGCATAATGGCTCTGTCGCTGGAATCCCATGTAGCCGCCCGTGGTTTGAGATCCAGAACCAGTGGCTTAAACTCACTCTGGGCACGTGTTCTGGTGTGCTCAAGATCCCAAAAGGAGAATGGAGGAGAAGGAATTGCGGCATGGTCATCCCCCCTAGGTGATTTCTCGCTTTCTGTCTCTCTGCCTCTCTCTGTCTTTCTGGCAAGTGCATGCACCCTATAGCAAAAAGAAACAAAAAAAAAGAGAAAACGACGCCGAACAAAAAAAAAAAAAAAAAAAAAAAAAAAAAAAAAAAAAAAAAAAAAAAAAAAAAAAAAAAACTCTTCTCAAAACATAAAAGAATTAAGAAAAGAATAATAAAGTTTATTTTAAAATTTCTGTAGATAGAAGTAGTATTTAAATTAAAAGCAGCATTTAAGTGGAAGTATTTTCTCTTGTACACGAGTCATCTTCTTCTATAATGTCAATGGCATCCAGCATTTTCTGAAAAATCTTCCTGGCTGAGCCATGGCCAAAAAATTCATTATTTTGTGCCTTGATATTTTCATCTGGAAACTGCATAACGCTATGTCCCATAAGAATGCCACAGTTAGCAAATGAGATCATATGTAAAAGAACTTGGCACTAGGTCTTTTACTTAGGAGAGAGTCTATAAACACAAAGCTCTGTTATACCCTTACATTCAATATTGACTACTTCTTATAGTTAAAGCACTCCATAGTTTAAAAGTAGCTTTAATTATACTTACTTAGTCAATTTGTGATTACGTTTAATTTTATAACAATGTTGGATGCTGAGAGATATTATTTCCATTTTCAAAAGTAAGAAATTGTGGGAACCAGCAGTTAGCGTAATGGCTATGTCGCTAGGCTCCCACGTAGTCGACCGCGGTTCGTGTCCCGGACCCGGTGACTTAAAACTCACGCCGGGTGTGTGCCCAAGATCCCCAGAGGAGAATGGAGGAGAAGGGATTGTGGCGTGACCATCCCCCCTGGGGGGTGATTTCTCGCTTTCTGTCTCTATGTCTCTCTGTCTGTCTGGTGAGCGCACGTGCCCTATAGCGAAAACCTCTCCATTAAAAAAAAAAAAAAAGTAAGAAATTGTGGCTTAGAGAGATTAAGAGACTGCCCTATGCCAACCAGTTCTCATGTAACAGACCAAAAATTCACCATCTCTGGATCCCAAGTTATGCAGTATAGCTGGCCCTTGTTCATTTGCATACATATATATTTTTAATTCTAAATTACATCATTTTTCTGATTCCTACTTTATTTTATTAATGTATTCTCTCCAGAAGTTCTCATTATTTCTTTAGTATAGCTTCTCCTCTAATAGGCTCATGGAGGTCTCTCTTAATTCTTGGACTAGAATGTCAAATTACATTAATTTAATAAATTTTATTTCTGTTCAAAGGAGTTATTTTTTTGAAGTACAATTAGTAATAATTTCTTTTTCAGCCATTTATGACAGTACAGTACATTAGACAGCCTTATAGATACTATTTATTTCATATCATTCAAAGGACAATTTGCAACAGGGAAAATAAACTATTCTCTGTGAGCAAGGAAATATTTCTTTGCCCAACTTAAATCACACCGAAACTGTAAAAAATAAAAAAAAAAAACTTTATTTTTCATGATCAGGATTGTGTTTTTACATAATTGATCTTTCCCCTTTCTAATTGGCAGACACTAACTCTCTGCAGCAATCTTAGTTCGAACAAATATCTGGATGATCTTCCTTCGTATCTCCTTGGTCTTCACGGTATAGACTATGGGGTTTAGCACAGGAGGTACAAGGAGGAAGGCATTGGCCATAAGAGCATGAGTCAGTGGTGACAAGTGCTTTCCAAAGCGATGGATGACTGACACTCCAATGAGTGGCACGTAGAAGATGAGGACAGCACAGATATGTGACACACAGGTGTTGAGTGCCTTCAGCCGGCCCTCCCCTGAGACTATGGCTGTTACTGTGCGGAGTATAAACACATAGGAGAGGAGGATGGACAGAGAGTCACAACCCATGGTGAAGATGACAGCAGTGAGGCCATAAAGGCTGTTGACGCGGGTGCTCGCACAAGCCAGGCGCATGACATCTTGGTGGAGGCAGAAGGAGTGGGAGAGAATGTTTGAGCGGTAGAACGGGAGTCGCTTGATGAGGAAAGGCACAGGAAAGACGGCACAGACTGCCCTTGACAAGATGACGGCACCAGTTCTGCAGACCACACCGTTGGTTAAGATAGTGCTATACCTGAGGGGATTCCTGATTGCCACCACCCGATCAAAGGCCATAGCCACCAGCACCCCAGACTCAGTGGCTGATAAACTGTGGATGAAGAACATCTGGACAAGGCAGGCATCAAAGGCAATGGACTTGTAGTTAAACCAGAATAAGCCTAGCATAGAGGGCAAAGCACAAAGGGTAAGTCCCAGGTCTGCCAATGCCAGCATACACAGGAAGAAGTACATCGGGATGTGCAGGGAAGATTCAGACTTGATGGTAGAGATAATGATGCTATTGCCACAAAGAGCAATGACATATATAACACCCAGTGGGAATGCCATCCAGTAATAGTTTTCTTCAAGGCCAGGAATTCCAGTTAGGATGAAGTAAAGGTGTTGGAAGTGGGAGTGATTATCTGCCATGAAGCCGATGCACAGTAAAAATGAGGAAGGAGACTGAGAGATCCTGTTGAGTGGCTTCTTAATAAAGCACAGTGGTAGTAGTCAACAATATGTCAGAATCTGACTTCCTCAAGTGTGGAACAATTTTATTTCCACATGGTTTGTGTAGGGAGGTAGCAAGGTGTGGGGAAAGGAAGACAGGACCCCTGTAATTACAACTCTAAGACATATCTTATTGAGTATGTTTCTGCTGTCTTGGGACAAACCACCTTATCCAAGAACAAGTAAAATATACTTAGTTTAAAGCATCTATTTGGAAAAAAGTCTTCTGCCTCTCCTGTCCTTTATTCTTTTTTGTCAGTCAGAGACCAAGGACATAATAGCTTAGTCAATACAGAGGTAATAATCAGTGTAGGACATGAGTTGTTTTATTCCCCACAAAAGATGCCATTCCTACCCATCTAACTGCTTATACCTAGGTCTCATGAAAGCAAGGAAGTCAGTCAGCTTTGCACATGATTTCCGGTCAGACACAGAACATACTCTCTGAAAAGCTCTCAAACTTAAAAAATTCATCAGCTGCCTTTATCCTTTGATTGGAATCAAGCTGATTAAGAGAATGTAAAGAGATGAAATATATATCCATGCATCCTGTATTCAGACCCCTATAACCCCTGAGGTAATAACAGTACCTAACCCACAGCAACAGTTTGAGGATTAAAATGCGAATGTGTGCTTCCTATTATAAATGTGGTCACTTGGAATAAAATGTTCTTTATATATTCTCAGTATTGATCTAAAATGTTTTTGCTTGTTTGCTTGGATCTTTTTGGCCGGAGTTCTTTGCAATTGGTGGATGTGGAAGCTCGTAGATTCTCCTCTGCCACAAAAAAATCACATTATGTCTATATGTCTTATAAGGTGTTAATGATTATAATATCCAAGCAGCTATTGAGCATCCTATCCCCAAGCTGTGTATGCAAATCTGACTGACCCATCTTATGATGAATAAAAAAACAGAACTGTTTTTTAAATCTCCCACAAGATCCTCTGAAGATTTCCAAGTCTCTCTCAGCCTATTTTATCTATCTATGAATTCTCATTTCTTTCTATTGTTCTTATGAAAGACAGCTGAATTCTAGTTCAAGTATGTAACCTGTTAGATTGCCTACATACATTTTCTGTTCATTCACTAAACTGTTTTAGGTTTTTGTTTTGTTTTGTTTTGTTTTGTTTTGTCTGTCTTAGGGATTTTTGAGAAAGAATATGCTTACTAAATTTGTCAAATAGTTGTGATAAAAAATGAAAATAATGGGACCAGCAAATGGTATAATGGTTTCGCTGCACTCTCAGGTGGTCAGTCAACTGCAGTTAAAGTCCCAGAGCCAGTGGCTTAACACTCACATCAGGCATTTGTGAGCATGTGCCCCAAATCCTCAGGGGCAAGGGACCAGTGGGTGACGTGGTGGTCAAGGTACTGGACACACCTACATGGCTGACTACGGTTTGAGTCCCTCATCTGGTGGCTTGCTTTCTCACTTTCTCTCTCTCTCTCTCTCTCTCTTTCTTTCTCTCTCTGGTCAAATTAAAATTCAATGAACTAATAAATAAAGTTAAATAAATAATTATTTTTTAAAAAATCCAGAGAGACAAACAGAGGTGAAGGGATTGTGGCATGACCATCCCCCACCCAGGGGATGACTTCTCGCTTTCTATCTCTGTCTCTCTCTGTCTCTCCAGAAAGTGCATGCACTCTATAGCAAAAAAAAAAAAAAAAAGTGGGAATAAGCAAAAGTTTTAAGAGGGAGACAATAAAAGATAAGAGAACACAGGAGAAGAAAGTGAAGAAGAGGAAAAAGGAAAAATATTAAGTCAAAGAACAGCAGAACTAAAAATCTATCTATTTCACATTTAACTAATTAAAAACCAGAAGCCTAGATAAAGAAAATATCTCACTCTGATTCAAACACTTTTTTAAAAGCAAAACAGATGAGAAAAGAAAGGAAAATTGCATAGCTTTGTTGGGGAAAATGACAGCTAAGAGCAATGGGAGCTTGAGAGTGTCATTAGAGAAGACACTGGTAAAATAGCAACTCCTGGCCAAGATCCTTTCCCCACTACCAGAATTTGTTACTTATCTGTGTGCCAAGGATCTAGAAAATACGTGAAGTTCAAAATTATCCCCTGAGGATGAAGCTCTTAGACTCCAAGTTCTGTCTTTGTAAATTTTCTCTGAGCCGGGATTTCTGGGGTCTACATGATCACTTTTTTGTAAAAACAAGCTGTGTGAGTATTCTGCATCTATCTTCTGGGCTCCCACTAGGTACATGGCCTCATCATAGATTCAAAAATAAAGGTGGGAAATAAAAATAAAACCATAAAAGTATTATGTACTCGGAAGCAAACAAACAAACAAAAATACACTTCAATTTACTTTGTGCAGTAGTCACACTTCCAGGTTTCTAGGCATTCCAGGACATCAGTTGGGAATGGTCTTTAAAGGAGATATTTAGCTCAGTCATCTGGTGCCTTCAGTAGAATGCTATTGTGTGGTGCTGGGAGCTACAAAGAAGGCTTGGGATCACACCAGGTAAACCTGAGAGGCTTGGAGAAGGCCATAGGGTGACAAGATCCTGTCAAGGCTTGATCTCTCTCTGTCTCTCAAATGAATAAATAAATTTTTAAAAAGAATGAATTTATCCTTCAGTATACCAGGAAGAATATTGGACAGACAGGAACTGAAGACATAAGAATAAAAACCCTCTTGATGTAGCTTAATTGTAAGAAGCTCTAACCTGATGGCAATGCCATAGATTCCGTTTATAAGAGGATTATTTATGAACTGCAACCATTTCATTCTAGGTTCCAGATGAAGGAACCTAGAATGAAGATTCAACATCTCACCCATACAGAAATACATATCCGGGATGCTGTAGGGGTCTCTTACCTTTTGCCTACACTAGCTCCAAGGACTAGGAGTCTCCTACTATTAAATGCAATGTACGTCTTTGCTAAGACATACCTGTGTATGTCTTAGCAAAGGATCACCTACATTTATCAGTAGGTTTAAATAGTAAGTTGACATCATATCTTTCCTTTCAAGCAAATGTGAGTGAGAAACAGGACAAGACATAGGACATGGGGTTGTTTTCTCAGGGAATGAAGGACTAGAGAGGGATACAGAGGTTCAGAGAAAAGTGGTTTAGAGCCAAGTGGAAACCTCAGTAATGAAATAGTCTGTCAATGACTATTTCAACCTAATCCTATTGTTTTTCTTCAGAATTTACCTGTTACTGAGGAGCCCCTGCTGAAAGATTCTGAAGCAGCCTGAGGCTCATCTGGCAAAACCATTGTCACCGCCTCAGAAGCACATTTAAGTCCTAAGTTACTTTCCCCTTATTGTCCCTGTTGATCTTAGAGACTAACAAACAAAGTATTCCCTGGGGGCTTCCAAGACTGAGAAGGTCTCTCTAGGGCTGTAAAATCTCCTTCTAGATTCTTATTGTTTTAGAAATGAGAGAGTATTAAGGCTTTTTAAATTTTAATTTATCATGGTTGGATACTTACCTCATTTCATTCCTGTCAAAAGTGATTTCAAATATTCACATTTATGAATTCTCCCAACTAAATCTTTCTCCCATCTCCTTCTACAAGAAAAAATCATTTTCTCCTCATTCGAAAATTGTCATGACTTGGCAAAGCATTAATGGTACAAAGAAATGTGGTATTATTTGTTGAAGATACTTTGTAGTTTTATCAACTGCACTAAGGATAAATATTCACCAGTTGAAATATCCAGCCAAATAATAATGTAACTGAATGTATGATAGAAAATAAAATGAAAAATAATAAACAAATAAATAAATAATTAAAATTGTTATGATTTGATCTAATCAATCTCAAGTGTGAAGACTAAGCAGATATGAAGAGTGATCATTCAAGTATTTCAGAGAAAGAATAAGGATTGGAATGGTATCATGTGTAAGATGCAACGGAATACTACTCATCCATAAAAAAATAATGAAACTTTGGCATTTGATAGAAAGTGGACAAATATGGAAGATTTACTGCTAAGTGAAGTAAGCCAGACTATGGAAGAAAGCCATTGTCTGTCCCCTCTCAATATATACCACATGCCAGCACTCTATGGCAGAAACTAAAAGACTGGAAGGTATAAAAGTATGGAGAGCAACTGTCAATAGTACAAAGAATGTAGGAGGAGGTAGGAAATAGATGAGGGTTAGAGGGAGGGAATCAAGGGAACGAAGAAAGAAACAAAACATTCAAAGGATACAAAAATGAAAAATTATCTGTTGATGATAAGGTGTATGGTAATATCTTTGACAGAGCTAATATACAGTGTATTCATGATGGGAAAATTATTTGGCATGATGTAATGATGATACACAGTGATTGAATGTAAAAGATTTAAAAATAAATTTTAAAAATGAATCATTTTTAAAAAGATGCAGAGTACATAGTCACTGGAAAAATTCATATTTCTGTTTTCAGCAGTTATGGTGCAGTCAAATTTTACACACTTAGTTAAATATAATCTTTTTATTTAAAGTGACATAGGTACTGCTCCAACTGCTGATCCCAATTGTTACTTTTATATAAGCATTTTTCCACTTGGTTTCCACAAGTGCATTTGTTGAGAAAAGTCAATAGGATTCTTGTTTCAAATTTTTAAAATAATCATTTATTTTATTTAATTTATTAGTAATAGTAGTAGTAGTTTTGATTTGCTATAGAGCATGCATGCTCACCAGAGGAAGAGAGAGGGAATGTGAGAAAGCAAACTGCCAGATCCAGGACTCAAACCTTAGTTGCCCATATGGGAGTCCAGCATCTCAACTACCTTGCACCTACTGGACCCTCTTGTTTCAAATTTTAAGCAAGGTGGTTCATATTTCTGTCTCTGCATTTTTCAAATTCTAACTGATACATTGGACTTTTCTATAAAAACATAAATGAATAAATGGGATGTCATCCTTCCTAAAGCCTGTAGTAATAGTTTT